TGTGGTTTCAAACTAGATTAAGAGAATGTAACAACTTTAAGTATGCTGATAAAAAGTTCTGAGTATTACTGAGGGATTGGAAAAGCCTCAGGATCTCAAAGAAAAAAAAAACTAAATGGAAACAGCCACCTAAAGAGTAAACAAGGACCTACTTCTCGCTGAAGCAGGTTAACACAGGCCATTTCATTTGTACAAGAACCATACATACAGATTACCTCATGGGTGCAAAAATAAGCAGAATTCTGGGCCTTTACTTGATGCTTATTAAAAGCAAGATTTCTGTTTCCTCCTAAATCAGCCAGTGACTGAAAGGCCTTTTTTGCTAGGAACTATGACACTTCACTTGGGCCTACTGGTGCCTCATAGGTAACTAAAAACAGAATAAAGGTTGACTTTCGTTTTTACCCTTTGCTATTGTAAATCTTGGGGCAAGTGTCTTCTCAACTCTGCATACAGATATGTTAATCACTCAGGGAGCCTCTGTCTAAAAGTTGGCAAAACAAGACTGGTTAACAACAAATTTACATATTCTCACCCCATTAAAGATTAAGGACACCAGGATGGAGGATTTGAGGGCACATCCAACTATGCCCAGAAGTGTACAGCTTATCTTGTACCTGCCACCTGTGGCCACCAGGGAACAAAACTATCCCTCCCAAATTCTGGATCTATGACACAAGGACTGAGAAACCATGACATCAGGACTGAAGTAATGATCAGCTGGAAGCCAGCCCACCAGCCAGTCCTTGAAATCTAGCCTCCTGTCTTTCTGGGTGGGCCAGAATACCCAGATACCCCTATATCAGAAAGCACCTCAGTACCTAATCTGGCATCCTTTCCTATTTTCCCTCTAACTTTCCAATTAAAATTTTTTTCTTGAAAAATTGTACATTAGTGTTGTTTGTTTGTTTGGTACTAGGGATCAAACTTACAACCTTGCACTTTTGAGGCAGGCGCCTGTGCCACTGAGTCAAATCCCAGGCCCTGTAATTTAGTTTTAATTTCTAGTTTTACTAATCGCAAATCTCAGGCTGTATGGTGAATGAGGCTATTCCCTAATTTCCACAGGACTCTTAGAATTGGAGGGTTCATACCACACCTTTCCCAGCAGAGGCCCCACTCAACAGGGAAAGGTTCATCAACAAATCACCTGTGTGGGGGTATCAGAAGGAACATGTATAATGTGTAACTTTAAGATGTCACTGTGCTCTATGGTGTCACTTTGGGTCCAAGACCTAACAAATGATATGTGCATTTTACATTACAGCTTTTCTAATTAATCACACTATTTTGGACCCACCCCCTGTCCCTAACTAATGTCAATGGTTCACTAATCTCCTCACTAATGTGTAGCTACTGCCTAACATTAATAGCATTTACTGACTTGTATGCACATGTTTTTAAACATTAAAGTTCTCATCCCACATACAGTTTTACCAAACTTGTGACAAAACTAGCAGGGTATTCTTGTCTCTGTGATGACTAAGTATTTTTCACAATGAGGTGCTTTGGCGATTGGAGCAAGCGTTGGTGGCAAAACTTAGTCTCCAAGGGAGCACTCTAGGGCAGTGAGGGTGAACCCTTTAGAGACTGACTGCCAAACTGCAACTTGAAATCCACTTACTTATACCAAAGTGCCAACTCTGCAATTAAACTGGAATTCTGATGTTTTAGTTTAGAAAAAAAATTAATATCTTTTGTCTTAAAAGAAAAACAATAACATTCGTGACTGGTTCACCATGACCTCTCAGGGGGATCCTGAGAGGTCACTGTTTTTTCTACCATTTTCCATACCACTTTACCAATTTCTCACTCTCTCATTCCCCCCTTCCCCCTCTTCTCCCTCTAACTCATGCAGGTCTGTGTACACACACACACACACACACACACACACACACACACACCTTACCTGTCTTTTCTTTAATGGGAGAGTTCAGGAGGAAGAGGTTGAGTAGTTTTTGTTTTGTTTGTTTGCTTTTTGTTTTTTGAGACAGGATCTCACTATGTAGCCCAGGCTACCCTTGAACTCACTGTGTAGCCCAAGCTAGCCTTGAATTCATGGCAATCCTCCTGCCTCAGCCGGGGGAGTGCTGGGATTACAGGCAAGGTTGGGTAATTTAACCGAAGGAATAAATATTCTTCGAGTGTAGCTATTTCTCTATGGGCACATAGGCCATATGGGGCAAATATCACATAATGAAACATCCCTGGAGAATTACAAATGATTGTCAGGATTCCTCTTGTTACATCAGGTGGGGGTCTGGGAGGCTAGGGGTCTTCTCATGAAAAGGCCCTCTGCTTTTCTGGTTCTTGCCCTCACCCTGTCCAGGAATGAAAAAGTGGGTCAAAACTGACCCGACATCGAAGGTCCTTCTGGTGAAGAATGAGAAAGTCAGACCATCTGGCTCAGAAGAGGAGCTCAGAAGTGAAAGTAATGTGAAACAGAGGTTCACTTACAATATTTCGATGGTGAGGACAGAATGCTGAACAGTAAGCTGTACTACAGCAGGGAGAAGCTCTAAGGATGCTGTCTTTGTTTTGTCCACTCTTATAGGGGTTCTAAGCCAATTGGGGTCTTAACCCTTGTTGCTGGGGTAAGCTGCTGCTAGGGTGAGCTAAGGTTCATGGAGTTTTAGAGGGTTTTCAGAGTATAGAAGTTGTTCCCTAAAAATAACTTCTACACCTGCAAAGGTTTCACAAAGGGCAATTTCTTCTGGTAAGCAATGTAGTCATTTCTGTAACCATCTGCCACATCACCCTGCCTTGTCAGCCCTCTCTGTCCCTGCCTGTCTCCCTTTCTCACGGTCTCTACACTCTGCCCTCTGACTCATCATCCTACTGACATAAGATGGGGAACAGGGCATTTTATGGGATAGGGGTCCTATCTCCACTCCTTTGAGGGTCCTCATTTGTTGACTGGATATTAAGCTTGTTGTTAGGGGTTTGGTCTTGTGGGTTAATGGGAGAGGGAAGTTGTTGCCTCCACAGTCAGGTTTCAAAACCACACTACAAAGCTTGAAAACTGCTTGTTGCTCAAAGCCACACAGAGGCTCATTTTCTTTCTTTTTTTCCCTTTTATTGAGTTTATTGATACATTCTAGGTATACAGCACAATTACATTCATCATTGGGATTCTGTGCCTTTACATGACAGGTCTTGGTTCTCATTTTTTTCCCTTGTCCCCACCCTCCCTTCAGCACCCTGCTCCCCTCCCCATTTACAAACACTTTATTTCCATTTTTTCATTTTGTCATATTTTTTTCTTTTCCCTTATTACCTTTCCCCCACCCTTCCCACTTTCCTTACGCCTCTAGCCTTTTTCTTCCTATTTCACATGGTCAATTATCTCATTAGGATCTTATGTACTATTATAGCTTTTCACACCAGAGAAACTATTTGGTATTTACACATGTGTGACTTATTTATTTCACTTAGGAGTATATCATCAATATGTATCCATTTTCCCATGAATGAATCTAATTTCTCATTCTTTATGGCTGAGTAGTATTCCATTTTATAGAAAAACCACATCTTCTTTATCCAGTTTCCAACTGATGGGCAAATGGGCTGTTTCCAAGTTTTAGCTATTACAAACTGTGAAGAGTCTAATTTTCTACCCTCTAAAAAGGGCTCGGCTCTTTTAACCCTCCCCAGGGGTCCCTCTGACTCTACACTCTTTAGGAGAAGATTCCCCAAGGCTCAGCAAGGCTTCGGCTAGGGTGATTTATAAAGAGTAAAAGGTTTATCTAGTGAGGGAGAGTGTGAAAGAACAAAATAGATCACACTAAATTAGAGAAAAATAGAATATGTGTTGGCTATCCACTGTATGACAGGTAAAGGGATATTCAACTATGCTTGTGAAAAGCTTAGTTTTAAATTTATTAACATTTTTTAATCCCTTATAAATATAAGCCCCTTGTGACAAACAGAGGAAGAATGAGACCACCCGAACAGGTTAGTGAAAGGTAGCTAGGCACCAGCTTCATTCACTCGGGTAACAAAGCCGTCACTCCCTTAGCCCGGAACAAACTCCTGAAGAAGAAAAAGGCAGGAAGCTTTTAGGGGATTGGAAAGAGGTCTGTCACCTACAGGGGTGGGAGCAAACATCTATGGTCGTAATTCACAAAGTGGTCGAGGCAGATGCACAGATGCTACAAGGCAGCGTGGCGCCCGGGAGGTGCTGCGCTAAACTGGGCTGCATTCTGGGGTCTCAGCGCTCCCGGGAACGTCCACTTGCCGAGAGACTGCAGGCTTGGCACCTGGCTACTCAGCCGCTGGAGTGGCGGCATTATGCTGAGGGCTGCGGTTTTGGTATCTGTAAAAAAGAAACTTTGTGCTAAATTGCAGTTAAGCTGCATATTTTACCAAACAGGTCATGGCCAGATCAAGCTGGACACCCGTTAATTTTCAGAGAAAGCCCACTAAGTCTGTTAGGGTAAACTGAGGCGTGACTGAGCAGGAGTCAGACAGAGTAGAGCAACAAGCGAAGTTTATTACAGCCTAGGTATAGGCAGTCAAGGGCGAGACCATTGGCCTCAAGAATTGGGTTAGAGGAGACTTTTATAGGATGATAGGGTGATGGGGGTCTAGGGGTGGTGGAGAGAGTGGAAATTTTTGAGACTTGGGAAGTGGGGGGTCTTTTGGAGTGCAGGATGTCTCTTGTAATTGCTGGGCATCCAGGTATGCTAGTGTCTCTGGATATATACTTTTTTATTGGCTTCCTGTTATTGTACAACCCTTGCAGGTGTGAAGGACGCGGGGGCAATTGTTCTGAGATGTTTTTCTGCACTGCTCTGGCGGCGGCCTGACAAAGTCCACTAAGAAAATAGGGCCAGCTCTGAAAAGCCACGAGTAAACTGTTTAACTGCAATTACGGACATCACAGGGAAGAGCCTGGTCCAGAAATCTGCGGGTAACAAGCTCATTTGGGATCCCCTCAAGCAGACAGAGATTTGCTCCTCTTCTCACCCTCCGCTCAGAGGAAAGGAAATGGAGCAGGAGCCAATCAGCGGTGGAGGGGCGGGCTGCTCGAACTGTCCAATCAGGTGGGCCGAGATAGGAAGGTTCTTCCGGTGTCATGGCGCTACACTGTTGAGAGTCTTCCTGCAGGCTAGACCGCTTTCTTCTGTGACTTGTACTGCGGCGGGCTGCGTGGAAGGACGCTAGAAGACCCTCGCGCCACGCAATGGTGACGTTGTGGGGCGGGAGCCCTGAGATGGGATGGAATCCGGGTGAGGTCTGGATGGAAGTGGCCAGAACCAACTCTGGTGAACTAGACTCCGTGTTTAGCTGCAGATCGTAAGGTCTTCCCGGTCTTTGGCACTGAATCAGCCCGCGTCTGATTTGCCCTTTGCTGGCTCAGGGCCCGTTCCAGGTCCCCAGCGTGCTGTCCCCACTGTAATATTGCCAGCACAGAACGCGCGCGGTCTTGGGCAGCCCCCGACATCGCTGCCTCTCCACCAGTCTCGGGAGAGTGGGGCCTCGAGGAGACTTTGATTCGGGTGTGGGCTGGAGCTGGGTGCCGCTGTGGTGTGCTTGGTCCCTGGTCTCGTTTCTTCCAACAGCAGACCTGGAGGATCTGACGTTTATAAATGATTGTGATGCAGTGGCTCATACGCACAGCTCGTCTCCCCAGACTTCTGCTTTTTAAAATTGATAGTGATTTCCTAAGCTTCTTCTTCGTGCCAGCATTGCCACTCATGATAGTTGTCGATAAAGGCCCTGAGAAGCCAAAGAAAAATTTAACATTGCTGGTAATGAGCTCAGTGCTGCGCCACTCGCCAAGCACACAGTGAACTTCTTGGGCTCCATCTACAGCAAAGAAAAAAAATCATCTTATTTAAATGAGACCTCTACCCACAATTACACTAGACTATTTTAAGTATGGCCTCCACAGAGTGTAAAAGGTTGAAAAAAAATATGGAGGGGATCTTAATGTATTAGCAAAGGCAGGTAAAAATGTTTCTGCTAAGGACAGCTTCCAGAAGGGGCTGCCATTTAAACCTGTACTGAGAAATGCATTGAATTAGGGCATTTGCTGGGACAGTGATATGCATATGAGTGGAAAGGGAGAGTGGTGTCATCTCTTTAATTAACGGCCATAGTTCTTTACTTGATTGTAGGCATCTTAAAAACATTGAAACGCTGTTTGAGGTAGACTTTATATAAAGGAATAGGTATAGGGGCAGAACCCCAAATGGAAGTTGCACAGGCATAGCAAGGGTTAGGCATAAGGCGTTTTCCAGGTAGGGCAGAGCAAAGGTGAGTGGAAAGGAAGTGCAGGAGAAGGGAATGACAAGAGGTGAAGTCTTAACACCTACAACAGAGAAGATCTCTGGAGGTTAGAATGTTCTTAGTGATAATAAAGGAAGGATAGTGTGCTGGCTTGATCTGAGAGCAGGTCAAAGGTCACAGTCCTAAAGAATGAAGGGAAGATAGTCATAGATCATCATCATGTTACTGCTGATCAGTTCACCTGGTAATTTTTGAGTCAAGATTGGGAATTAGGAAACTGCCTGGCCTTGTTGTAGGTTTAAAAATAGGGTGAACATAGTCTTTGAAGTAAAATAAGAAGGGGTTTCTCCAGGTTACAAAAAATTTCAAGGTGTAGGTAGTGCTTTTATTATACATCAGGAATTTTATTATAAATCAGGAGTTTTGCTCTGAGCTACATCCACCACCCTGATTTTTTTTTTTTTTTAATATTTGAGATTAGGTCTCACTAAGTTGCCCAGGCCAGGGTGAACTTTTGACACTGTTTCTACCTCCTTGACTGTTGGGATGACAGGTATATACCACCATGCCAGTTTAAGGTTGGGGTTCTTTAATCACCATGACTTAGCAAGATATCAGTGCTTGTGTAAAGTAATCAGTGAAGTATGATGTGCACGCCTTTAATCCCAGCTACTGGACTGATTGAGATGGGAGTATTGCACCACCAGGTCTCAACATTGACAACTGACAATGACACTGTTTCAATATAAAATAATAATTCTGGGATGTTTCTCCATTCAAAGTAACTTCTTTAATATGCATCAGGTCCTCCAGTACTGAAGAATAAAAGAAAAATTATTCAGTGGAGATCTAACTTGAGCTTTGAATTTTATACTTTTTTTCACATTAGTGGTATGTAGTACAGTGCTTTTTAATGAGTCACTGCTCTGTCAGCAACAGGATACCAAGGGTGACCAGCTAGTGATTTACATTGTACTGGATTCAATAAATTACATGGTATGTTTAGTATTTTACTATGAATTTGGCTTTGTGTTACATAAATTTCCCTAAATATAGATCAAAGTAAGTGTGTGGAGCAGGTATAAAGAATCCAAGGCTTAGCAGTGATGTTTGTTTGATCACGTATATTGTGTGCATTTTTCAATACATTTTATTTTTAACTTCCTTTGTATTGATCAATTTTTTCCTTTCTAATTTAAGTAGTGTCTCTAGACTCATTCCTTCGACTCTCCTTAAAGTCCTCTGTAGAACTTGATACTCATCAGATTATTTCCTGTTTTGAATGCTGTACTAATCAGATTTTCTAGAGCAACTGAAACAGGAGAACAGTATGACTACTACTTGGAAAGGGGTACACAACTCTGGATTTTAGGGGTTTTTTTCATTTTTCTTTGTTTAGCTTTGGCGATTGTTTGTTTTGTATTATAAAGAAGTGTCCCACTGTCGTCGTCCTATCTAGTATGTGTCACCGGGACAGGGGATAAGATAGAAATTTTCAGTGAACAGATACAGAGCTGAGCCATTTGAACACAAGACACCAAGCATATGCAAGGCTGAAGAAAAATCATTTCCATTCCTACTTTTAATTTATATTGACTCTGGGAACCCTTCTAACTGCCTTTCTATGCTAGTTTACCTTAATGTTCTCAAGGCATGTCTGTCCAGCACTGTCACTCCAGTCTCTTCTTTGCGATGATTAGTGTCTCTGAGAGGAAAGATGACCATGAGCCTTTGTAACAAGTTCAGTAAGAGACTGCAATCCGTGAAATCCTCCTTGGTATCTCCTGAGTTCCCTGCAGCCCTTCCATGGAGGAAGCCCATGGCAATGGCCAGTAGGGAAGGCACAGCTGAGATAAAGCAGAGAACTTCAGTTCAAGGCACTCTGCAGTTTGGCCTTTACATCTTTTAGTCGGTATCAATTAAGTAGAGTTTTAGCAGTTCTTGTGACTTTGTTTGCCCATTGTAGGTACCTTCTCAATTCAATAGCTTATGTGTCCACTGTACCTTTTAAGTCAGTGGTTTTTAAGCATTGGTGATTTTGTACATTAGAAAACATATGGATGTAATAAGAGAGCTTGAGCAAGGTTTAGTAACATCTTGTAGGTAAAGGTCAAGCATGTTGATCAATGTCACATAACACACAGGACAGCCCTCATTAGAACTAAACAGTGGCTCCAGGTATCACTGGTGTTTTTGTGCTTGACAGCCCTGTTGCAGGGCTGGATTATACCCTGGCTCATGTACATGTACTTACAGTGTGCTGGAATAGGAGTATGTCAGAGAGTTCATCCTGCATTTTACCTAATTTACTCAGTATTATTTTCCAGTTTATTGGTCTTGTTCTGAGTACATTTATTTGTTCTGACAAGTGCCAACTATTCCCTTTCTCTCTATAACATCTTATTTGCCTTTCCAGTTATGCAAAAGCAGCCTTATCTACTTAAATATACACCATCCAGGCTACCACCACTTGTGGGAAATAGTTTGTTTCTAATAACCAACCAACTCTAGACTTTTTCTAACTTGATAAGTGAAATTTAATTGCTTTTCATTTTTCTCACTTTTATGTCTCCATTTTTTATGCTTTCTTGTTTTTTTTCCAAGCCTTCCTATAAATTATCTGCTTATATCATGTTCTATCTGTGATGAACATTCATATTTTGATAAAATATTTTTTGTTGTTGTTCAGAGTATTTATCACTTATAATCAAAATACTTTCTCGTTATTTTTCCATGTGTGTGTTAATTTCATTGAGTGGTTTCTTTGCTGAATAGAAATTCCATTACTTTTTATATCTTTTCAAAGTCACTTTAACATTTATAGCTTTACAGTTTTATTCCTGAAGATTTCCTCACTCCTAGATCAGAAAGTAATTTTCTTATGCTTTCATTCATATGTTATATATAATTTTTTCTTGAATCTACCTAGAGTGCTCCTTTGAAAGTTTGTGATGCAAAACTCAGATTCATTTGGTATATGAAATGTGCCATTTTACCACCAAAAAGAAATAATGAATCACATCTTCTGATATGTATTTCCAACCTTATGAAATCTTTTAAAGCAAATGTATTGCTTGATATTTCTTACAAATTCTGTGTGTCTACATCTTGTCTGAAGTTCAAGCTTAAATGACTGTAACCGTACAGCATGCTCCAAACAATGGGAAAAGATAGCTCTCTAGTTTTTTTTTTTTTTTTGAGATTCGAAAAATGCAACACTATCTTTTTATTTTTCCAGAAGGAATTCTAGTAGATCTTTGTAGAATCTATAGTTTTTTGTATTATAGATATGGTTTATTAAGCACATAGTAATTTAAAGAATTCATAGCATATTCATAGCACATTGCCTCATCCCACCTAAGTCTGTACATTGGTCACTTGGTACTTAGATTGTCTTGTCCAGTTTTATTTGTGTATATTATTCTTCTCTTTGGAGATGTTGCAGACCCTTAAACACTCTTTTGACACTATTTATAATTTTAATAGTTGGTTATATAAATGCTTAGTGGTAGGTGAGATCACCTGTAGATGTTAATAATGTCCTTGCTTTACAGTGATATGTGAGGAGACATTTTCTTTAACAAAATTACATATTGGCACAAACTGAGTGAGGAAGCAGAGAGGACCATTTAATTGACTCCTTTCCAGGCAGATTTTAGAAGGATTTGCAAAAACTTTAAGCAAGTTCAATTTTCTAATTAAGTATATTTTTGAAAATGTAATTTCTTCCCTATTCACGTGACCTGGGAACATTCTTGCACTGTTGATTCTATTAATAGCAAAATACTTTTTCTATTTTCAATGATAATCCACTAAACACCGTATTTTAACAGATATTTGACTTCTCTGTAAATTTTGTGTTTTCTGACCTTCAGATCAAAATATACTATTGGTAATTTGTGTTCTGATTTGGTTTCATGTACCTTCACTATACTGACATAGATTTAAGGTTTATTAAAAATATGAGAAACACTGATTTTTCCAGTTGCATTTGGCA